CTCTCCTATTAGACTCTTCTTCATAGGTGGGAATCTTTGGTCTTTAAATGAAGCCTCTCTAAAGAGCAACTTCTATTCCTGCCTGGAAGAGATTTCACAGGTCTACACACTTGCCTTCTACTTTTTTCAGAGTCAATACTCACATCTTATCTCTCCTGGTAGTTTGCAAGCTTCTTGATGACAAGAAAGTGTTTGGGAACTTTGAAGTCAGTCTAAGTTTGAATGATGTGTCAGTCACTTGTGTGCAGTTGTGTGACCTTGGGAAAGTTAGTTCACCTCTTTATACCTCAGTTTTCTCTTCTGTCAAGTGAGGATAATAATATCACCTATCTCATGTAATTTTTGCAAGGATTAAATTTATACACACACACACACACACACACACACACACTAGAGGCCTGGTGCACGAAGTTTGTGCAAGGAGTGGGGCGTCCCTCAGCCTGGCCTGCACCCTCTCGCAATCTGGGACCGCTGGCTCCTAACTGCTCGCCTGCCTGCCTGATCACCCCTAACTCCTTGCCTGCCTGCCTGACTGCCCCTAACTGCTCGCCTGCCTGCCTGATCACCCCTAAACACCTCTGCCTGCCTGCCTCATCGCCCTTAACCGCCTCTACCTTGGCCCCGCCACCACAGCTTCATCCAGAAGGACGTCTGGAATGATGTCCAGAAGGTGGTTTGGTTGTTCGGTCTAATTAGCATATTACACTTTTATTATTATAGACTAGTGCACATTGAAAAGAAATTAATTAGAAGGCGGCTGGTGGGGTGGGACTAGGCGAGATGGGCCAGACACACCCTGGAGCCAACCTCCCGCGGTCCCTCCCTGTCCAGCCACACCTGGGGCGGCACCGTGGCTCGAAGGGCATCTGCAGAGTGAGCGGGGTCCCTCCGGCAGGTGGGGGTCCCTCGGCCTGGCCTGCAGGAATCAGGCTGAAACTGGCTCTCTGACATCCCCAAAGGGGTCCCAGATTGTGAGAGGGCAGTTCTCGGGTGACGCACCCGGAATCGGGCTCCCTCCTCTCTGGTTCCAGGTGCATCACCCGAGAACTGCAGCTGCCAAGTCACCACAGCTTGGCAGCTCCTGCGTTGAGTGTCTGCCCCCTGGTGGTCAGTGCGTGTCATAGCTACTGGTTGGAGTGTCTGCCCTCTGGTGGTCATTGCACATCATAGCTACCAGTTGGACAGTCAAACAGTCAGACTGTCACTTAGGCTTTTATATATATAGATAAAGGAATAGTTTATGGATCTTTAGAGAGAGAGGGAGAGAAATATCGACTTGAGAGCGCAACATCAATGGGCTTCCTCCTGCATACCCCCTACCCCCTTGAGACCAAGCTCACAACTTTGGCATGTGCCCTGACTGGGAATCAAACCAGCAACCTTTTTTTTTTTCTTTTTTTAAAATATATTTCTTTATTGGTTTCAGAGAGGAAGGGAGAAGGAGAGAGAGATAGAAACATCAATGATGAGAGAGAATCATTGATCGGCTGCCTCCTGCACACCCCCACTGGGGATTGAACCCGCAACCCAGGCATGTGCCCTTGGCCGGAATTGAACCCGGGACCCTTCAGTCTGCAGGCCGACGCTCTATCCACTGAGCCAAGCCGGCTAGAGCAAACCAGCAACCTTTTGACAGGACGACATCCAACCAGCTGAGCCATATCAGCCAGGGCAAATTATATATTTTTGTATCCTTATAAGTTCATGGCCCAGATGTCAGTTACAGTCATCCTAAGGGCTTCCTGGATTTGAAAGACCCACATCGAAGGCCTCAGTTCTCCCTTGGGACCTTTCCATGGAGCTACTCTAATTTTCTCATGACATGGCAGCTAGGTTTCTCTGGCATGCACAATTCGAGAGCTCAAGGCAGAAGCCACAGTGCCTTTTATGACCTAGCCTCAGAAGTCAAACACCATCCCTCCTTCCATACTTTTTTTGTTAAATCCTCACTGGAAGATATGTTTTTGTTATTGATTTTATAGAGAGAAGAAGGGGGATAGAGAGAGAAACATTGATGTGAGAGAGAAACATTGGTTGCCTCCTGTACCCACCCGACTGAAGATTAAGCCCGCAACCTATATATGTGCCCTGACTGGGAATGGAACCCAAAACCCTTTGCTGTACCGGACAATGCTCCAACGAACTGAGCCACCCAGCCAGGACCCTTCTGCCATATTCTTATTGGTCACACAGACCAGCTCTGATTAAAGTGGGAGGATACTGCCCTATGGCATGAATCCCAGGAGTGAAGGATCACTGAGGGTGATTCTGGAGGCTGGCTGTCACATTTATATTGTTTTCCTCCAAGGGAATTAGCATTAGTATGAGGCTTTAGCAACTGCAGATATTGGAATGCATGTTGGCTAGAGAACTTAAAGGAAGAAATCAACCAAAGGAAATAATTCTACAGCCTCATCTCTTTTCCTCTTCTCTCCTTGTACTCTCAGTTTAAGTCAGACTGAATTTCTTATGGCTCTTCAGAACCCACCTGGCTCTTCTCTCTCATTTTAAGGCCTGTGCACCTATGGTTTTTCTGTTTGAAAGCTCTTCCTCTCCACTTCACTTGGCTACTTCCTCATAATTCAGGACTCAGCTTAAACACCACTTTCTCTGGGAAACTTTCCCCGATTCCCTTAGGCTGTCACTGCTGTGTGTACTTTGTCTCCTGAAAAGGACCTTATCCAGTGTTTGAAATTCAGGCACCCACAAGTGAGGAGAACATCTGATGAAAAGAGATGAAGGTGGAAGAAATTAGCATGGATGTTCTCTAATAGAAGTAACAAAATTACCTTTTGTGATAATGGGATTTTTTTCATTCATGCTGTATAATGCAGAAGCCACTAGCCAATGAAGCTAGTGTGACTGAAGAACTGAATTCTATTGAAAAACTCAGGAACTGTATTGTCCCACACAGCTATTAAAAGAACAGACCTGCCTGGATAGACAGGGTAGTGGAGAGAAATGGAGGCTAAGCTTTGCTACATGGAGAGTAGGCCCCTTCAGACCTGAGGCAATCATGATAAACTAAATCCAGTCCAGGCAAGCGCTTGCCAAGTAGTATTACAACCTCCTGCAAGGCTATTTGTAATTGAACTGAATGCTCTGAACAATGAAAGGGTCTAAAGACACAGGGATTGGTTGTCTGCTGGCAATATCAAGAGAGTTTTTGTGCGTGTGTTGTTTATTTTTTGTGGGTCACTTTTTTGTGGGGCATGGGTGTAGGGAAGCTTTTGTCACATTTGCCACCCTGCTTCAGGGTCAGAACCACTATCTTTTAAGAGGGTCAACAGTTGTAATGGCTGTCTCCAAATTTGCACCTTTTAAGACAAGTCAAGAAATAGCCTTCTTTCCTCCCTCCCTTCTCTCTCTTTCCTTTCATGGCTTTGTGCTAGGCTTTGAGAAGTGTTGACCCCAAGAAAGAAGTTACTTACCAAAAGGGGCTCCTGTGGCAAACTGGGCTCAAATTTAAAAGCACAGCCTAGCAACTGTGTCTCAACTGGGGCCTCTCACATGAACAGCCTTTCAGGGAAAATCATTAGTATGAGGCTGAGCCAACCTTTATAAAAGTGCCTGGAATTGTATTTCAAAAAATAGGACCAAAACTTTTTTTGTCAGATCAGAGCTGTGCAGCTATATCCCCCTTAGCATCTTCACCCCACCAGCCTGCAGAACAGCTCCATTCTGACCCACCATGATAGTGCTTTCTAGATCAATCAGAGGGTGAGGTTTTGGGATCCTCATTTGCATAAGGATGAGCCAATCAAGGACCAGGGCTGCTGGCTCCCCTCTGACCCCGGGAGCCACTTTACCTCCCCCCCCCTTCCCCCGTGAAGACTGTGCTTTTCCTACTGGATCAGAGCTGTCCAGTCAGAGAGGTGCCCTGCAGCCCTGCTGCTCCACTGGATAAAGTTTCCTTCTTCACTGCACTCCAAATTGCTGATTCCTATTGGCATTGAAGAAAAGGGGGAATCATTCAGTATCTTTTTTTGTGAGAAGCTTACAGACAAGAGTAGATAATAAAAATGTCCACACACTGACTGGGAGCCAACTGTTCTGGGTTCGGTGCTGTTTTACAGACCAGTTAGCTACACCTCAGCTATGCGTTTGCGAAATGTCAGGGCTGGAGAGGACTTCTGAGGTCTCTGCCCTAACTTCCTGGGCGCTCATGTATCGTAATAAAAATTATGATGAAAATTGCAGCTAGTTAACTGAGAGCTTACAAGTTCTAGACACTGTGCTAAATGCTTCATACCATTTCACTCAAGCCTCATGGCTATTTTACAAACTTCCATTTTCAGATGAGGAGCCTGCGCCTTTGCTCCCAGAGTTTTAAGTAAGCAGCCCAGGTCACACGGGGAGTAAATACTAGAGTTGGGCTTTGATGCCAGCTGGTTCCAATCCCTACGTTTTTTACTTTGCTGTTGAGGTTGCTTCTCTTCAAGGGTGGGTCGGTCAGGAGCGTTAGCTTCAGGCAGGGAGAGTGCTGGTGACGATGATTCTAATACCGAGTGCAGTTCTGCCGCGACCGCAGGCCGCGACTCTCCCAGCAGCTGTGGGCGGCCCGTGCCGTGTCCTCCCCAGTCCCGGGAGAGCGCGGCTCCGCGAGGATCCCAGCTGCTCGCAGCCACACGCCAGCAAAGGAAGGGCCCAGGTCAGGGGTCCGAGCC